ATATGATCAAGCGCCAATACATGAAAGCAACAGCCACAACAAATACAGCAAATAGAAAACCAACAACATGTGTAGTATAAAGTTGCCACAACTTGTATTTGCCACACAACTAACAACAAGTAGTAGCGACGTGCAACTCATCGCTTTAACGCGCTGCGATCGCGAGTAGCGCTCGACGATACAACACCACAAAGTTAGCGGTGAAAATAGAATAAGATGGGCAGTAGTAAGCAATCGGTGAGTAACTGAAATTGGCGAAAAAGTGCATAACACTTGAGCCTGATCGTCAATGTGAACCTGAGAGATCAGTGGGTCGATAAAGGCTCGCCTATTACCGACACCGAAAACACAGTGTGGTTGTTGTTGCTGCAGCGAAAGGCTTTACTACTGCCCAACGGGCAGCCTAGTACATACATAAATACATGCAACAACAACAGCACGTTGATGTTGCAGCTGAGATTTTCAACGCTCCAACATCCCGAGCACGAATTTTACTGCCAAACTAACTGGGTTAAATTTACTTGCCACAGCGCTTTTACGTTCTTATATACCTCCATACATATGTACACATGAACATGGACAGCTGAAACTAAGCTGTCGATTACTAGCTGCTGTAAATCCGCCACGCTTCGTAAGCCTACCTTAGATTTTGTTGTTGTTTCTTTTTTTATTCTGTTGCTACTGATCTACACCTGGATTGGCACAAATGTTACGATCTTTTCGCAAGAGCTTATCTGGGCGAGCGCAAGCTCAGCTGCTTGTTGCCAACAAATGGTCCAGCCTGAGACCTGTGCCGCATGCAAATGGAATTTGAAAATGTTGATGTGTGCTTTTTGAGGAAAGTGTTAGCTGCTGGCTGCGGCTTGCTGGCAGAAACATTTTTCAGGTCAAATGTAAGTACGTTGTATGCCACATGCGTGTGGCCGCAAATGGAAGCACATTTATGTTTGCTCGTTGGTGCTTCGGGTCAGCTGAGTAATATTTGTTTGCACATTATGCTGCAAAATTGGAAAATTTGTGGAATTGAGTGGAAGTTGTGTGGCAAGCAAAATTATTGATATTTTTTATGATTTTTTTCTAAGTTAATCGGACGTATTACTTGAGTTGTTTTGATGCCTTTAATTTGTATGCCCTAAGCAGGGTATTTTAAGTCTGCCACGAAGAAAACGTTCGAGACTCTATAAAATATATATGTACATACATATATAAATGATTAAAGTGAAAAAAAGGTAGCAGTATAATCTCCAAACATACTTCTATAGAATAAAGCTGCCATAAAAATTGAACTATGTATAAGAAATGCACCAGAGCAGACAAATTAGACGTGTTTTCTTGTATTTATAAGATTTTTTTAAATTGACTATATTTCAATTTAATTTTTTATTACTTTATTTCAAACTTATTACAGTCGGATGTATTTAGTTTAATGTCCATAATAATTTTTTTATTTTAATTTGTTTTACTTTATATTAGCTTAGTATATTTATTTATTTATTTTTTTTGAATTAAATTTGATTTTTTCTTTCATTTAAATTTTATCTTCCATTATTTTTTTGTGTGATTCTTTTAAACAAATTTTATAAATTAATAAATTTTTTTTTACTTATTATATTCTTGCGTATCTGTTACAAATATTCTACTTGCATATTTTCCAATAATAGTTACTTAACTACTTTCATTATTTTCCGCAAAATTTCTACTCCTCAATGACTATTCATTGCTTCGCACTAAAACGCCTACATTGACGCTGATGGCGCACTTATGGCATAACAATGTTGTCGTTGTATCGATGACTGTTATTTTATTATCGGCGCTACTCTTAAAATGCAATTGAACGCACACAATTGTCGCATTGTTCGAGCGCATACTTGCAACATTGCACAATTTTTCTCAGGGGAAAATGTTCCATCAATCGTGGTGTATCTTAGAAATTGTTGTTGTTGTAGCTTTCTGTTCACATTGCATTCGCTCATTGATTTACTTACCAACGCCAACTTTTAGTTTAGTTTGGTTGTGTTTTTCTCCGCCAAGCCTTATGCGTGCAAATATTTAAGTCCAGCTCAACTCTCCACACTGTATTTAGCGCCGCGGAATGCGTTTGTGTGGCGCGCAGCGTACGCGGACGTGTGGTACTTACATAAATGTGCGTCGACGTGCATCAGCAATCCGCATATTAACAGCTGAAGAAAAAATACATTTAGCCGGTGAGCCAAAATGAAACGGTACTCTGTGTAGGATAAGCAGCTGTTAGCCATCATTTTTTTATTGGAGCTTCAACTTAGGAGCACTTGTTAACGTCTTTTTTTATGTATCTGCTAATTAATTAGGTCCAATGCTCATCTTTAACTCGTTTTCTCTAATCTACAAAGCTTGTGCCGCATACGCATACAACACATAACTGTAATAACTATCCGCATACATACATATACAATATGTCCACATTTTGGTTGGCTCAAACACGTGAGGGAAATTTGTTTACTTAGCCTGGTCTTGTTTACTCGACAGTTAAATACTTCACTGCCTGCATTTTGTTGTCACAACACTCGAGCTGTGCCGCCGCTCGTAAGCTTCCCACACTATCCCACGCCTATTGAATATCAAATTACGGAACGTGCAGAATGACATAAACAGTGCAACACTCAAAGTCGCTCACTCATGTAGCATGGTATGTAGATGTTGAAACTGGTGGAGTGGAGAGTTTTTTGAGTTTAAAGTTTTATTTATATATATATATATATATATATACCAACAAATTAAGGAAGGATATGAGAACTTCAGGGAAGCACTATGTGGCATTGGAACTGTTTAAGAGCAAAGAAAACATTGTACCTTATATGTTTGGTAAAAATTTATTAAAACCAAAAAATATATTTTTTTTTTTTGAACAATTCGTAGCCTTAAGAAACTAGTATTTATTAAGGTAAATAAATGTATGAAAAAATTTTTTGTATGAAATAAAATAATTACAAAAGTTTTTTTATGTTAGATATGGCTTTGAAAACCAACATCATTTTGCGATTTTCGCTCAATAATTATATTCCTCTATGTATTTAGGGGGTAGGAAAAGCAGTCGAAATTTATGCGGCGCTAATATACTCTGTACCGTAATGTTTTGTAAATTTCGTTTCCATTAACACGAAAAAGCAGTTTAAAAATATTTTATTTACTCACTGATTATCTGGTATTTCGACGAAAACATATTCCATATGAAATTGGTGAATTTTGGAGATGTTTTAGTTTTTAAAAATAAGTTCATTCTTCAAACTGAGAGATAATTTTCTTTAAAGTAATAGATGGATTGAAAATACTCTCTCTTAAATCAATGAAAACAATAGGTAATCAGTTTTCAGAAACTGACCACCACTGATTTCTTCGTATCCTCACACCTCAAAAAAACTACCACTGGAAAGAAATTTAGCGGCAATGAAGAGGTAATCCCGAGAATGAGATCTCTTCGAAGTAATAGAAAAATGACAGTACCAAAATGTTATCAAAATGTCATATAATCGGGTTATCGCCCTCGATGGAAACTATCGAATAGAATTGGGCTACAAAAATTCTGTTTTTCTGCGATACGAACTTTTCATTCCTGTTTCGAAAGTAGTCTCTAAGCCTTTTCTTTCTCCAAAAAAAATATATACATGTTCATTTTTAGTAAAATGAAAGTATAACTTTTTTCAAACAAACTGATTTCATTTTTTTCGTTCCCTTAGAATTTACCACCTTTCCGAGCTTTCCTGCAGTATTTTTGCTTTTTCATATATTTGAATTTTTTGTTGTTTGATTCTTTTTTTTTTATTTTCCTTTTCTTTTTGTTGTTTATTACAGTCTTCCTATTTGACTTCTTTTAATTTTTTGTGCACTGTTCTTTCTCTTGGCTTTATACACTATATCATTCGCTCGCCTTTAATGTGTGTGGGGTGATTTTAGGCCTTGAGCTTCAATTAATGCGTTCATATAAGCTATGTTAACCAAAATAAAAAGAAAATATTCAAATGCAATCGTAAATAAGTACGCGTATACAATACATTTTTATTTGTATGTATGTGTAACAAGAGTAAAATCAGCCGTGGCACAACTATTAATTGTCGCCGAGAAGTGCGCTTATAGCGGTCCCCCATGCTCCGGTAGGCATAGCCAAAGGGCGCCGGTATACTTTTATTATTTCTCGCTTTTGTTTATTACACTTGGCGTGCAAAGCCCTAGCCTTTTACTTTTTGTCATTTCTGAACTCGCTTTTTGAGTGTTTTCTTACCGTTTTGGCCCAATGCACATTAAATATAATTCCCTCATTTTTTATGCGTATCAGTCTTATATTAGTGGCATATTGTAGTTGCAGCTAAACCAGTTTTTGTTTGTGTTTTTTTTTATGAAGAACCACAGCGGTAATCTGTTGTAAATCGTCATGTGCATTCAAAAGGTTGATTAGGACTTTTGGTGTTGTTGGTGTTTTGTATCTTCATTGTTATGATTCGGTCTACTCATTCATTCTTAGTGCTGGGTGTCAAAACAGGAAATGACAAAATAGCGACTTACATCATTAATTATTTCAAGTGTATATAATGGAGAAGCAGCTGCTCGGAGGATTAATTTAAGAAAAGATAATTTGTTATGCTAAAGAGAAAGGGTTATTGGAAAAGAGGTCAGATGTTTGTGGTGAACCGACACGAAACATTTGTGAAGGACAAAAGCTTTTTGTTTGACTCGAAAGAAAGCGTGCATTTCATTTGTGTATAAAGAATAAATGTTGTTTTGTTTTATGGGAAATAAATCTGAATGCCGCAAATTGAATGGTCAAAAATTTACTATGAAAACATTTAAATGAGTTGTTTGTAAACTAAGGAAGGGCGTCGAGATTCCAAAGTGACAGTAACGATTTTAAAAGTTTAATTTTTTCATTTATATAACTACAGATAACCTACATTTTATTTTTTATAAGCAATTTTCTATGCATTAGCAATTTACTAATATTTTGCTTTTTCTATTTACTCTCATAACAGTTGCAGCTCACGCTATGTCGGCGAATATTGTGAACATCTGAATCCTTGCTTTACCGGTTTGCTGCGCTGTCAGAATGGCGGCACCTGTCAACCCTCATATCGTAATGATCGCCTTAGCATCTCTTGCATATGTCCGCTCGGCTTTACCGAGTCTTTATGCGAGATACGTGTGCCGAATGCCTGTGATTCATCGCCTTGCCGTAATGGCGGTTCTTGTAACCTCAAAACATTGGAAGATTACAGTTGTTCCTGCATGAATGGCTATACAGGTAAGTTGAGTCAATTACTTGTATGAAAAAATTACAAGAAAAACTACATATTCAGCTCAGTAATACAACTAAATTATAGCTTGTTACGTTTTGGTTATGAAATTAAATTCGGAATCCCGAAATTTCAAACTCAGAAATTCAGAAACCCGAGTTTTCAGTTTTTAGTGTATACAAACCATCGACGGCTTAATTTTTAAAGAAACGCTTTGAGTCAGTAGGACAATGAGAATAAAGGTATATAATATCATAAAGTATGGTTATTAAATTCAATTCGGGATCGGGATCCAGATTTTTAAATCAGAATTCCGAGTGAGTGAATTTGTTTCCAACTGGGAGCTGTGAGTGATAACTAGAATAGACATCGATCTGGTAAATATTAGGGTTCCGTGAACTTAGGAGACACGCTTGTCTGTTTTTCCAACATACATACATATGTACATATATTATTAAAAATCGGGGTGTATATTAAAATATACAAATATTGCTGTCGAAAGTGATGCCACCTATCTAGTTTGCTATTTTATTAAGGATCGAGTCATTGGCAGATTTTTTAGTTTATATAAATTTGGAAAACTTATATTAATACTAGTTTAAATAAATCCGTCTACATCTTCTTACTTTCTAGGTGAATACTGCGAGACTCAGAATCTCTGTGCCACATCACCCTGCCACAACGGTGGAACCTGCACCTCCGTTGCCGGCGGCAATAGTTTCAAATGCATATGCCCGAAAGGTTTTAAAGGGCAAACCTGTGCTGAAGATGTGATCGAGTGTGAGGCGAATCCGTGCAAACATGGCGGCACCTGCAAAAATACACATGGCTCCTATCAGTAAGTGAAAACAAATTATTTTTTTTTATATTTGCTTTAATGAATCCGCTTAGAAATCAAGTGCCTTTAGAAACTTAATTAACTTATTGCTTTCAAACATAAATCAACTGTCCAAAAAAAACTTTGGCGTGTCCCTCAGCTGCACGAGTTGTCGTGCTCGACCTCTGCGTGTGGGAATATTGATTGCGCGCGAATTTGTTTCATGCAAATTAAATGCTTGTTGTACAAAATGTTAAGCAACACTTTTGAAACCAAAATCAATGCGATCGATAAAATATCGCCGAGATCTTGCTCTATTAATTGTAATTCCACAAAAATCGCTTATTTATTAAACCGTATAAAAATCGGCTAAATAAATAAAATTAACTGTGTTTGGTGGAACAAATTTGCATTTGAAACAAACGAAGCAAATAACTGCAATAAATTTTCATTTAGCGCGCAAAGAAAAAAGTGAAAAAAACAACAAAGTGTTAAAGCGATAAAAAAAAATGTTAAACGAAGCGATGAAAATTTAAAAAAAGTATTGAAATACAAATCTTTATGCATATATTATACCAAATTTTTCGTATAATCTAATGATTATTGAATGGATCGCGCGCTCGTTTAAGTCCCGCGCTTTGTTTTTGTAACGTTTTGTCGCACCAAACACACAGCATTTAAAGCGCGGCCCCCGCGCATGGCTTTCGAGCCATTATTTTTTCCCTCCTTTTGTTGTGACTAAACCAAATGACATTTCTAATGTCGCTTCCACTAAATCTCACTAACGAACTGTACGCCATAAATAATGCGATAGATCGGCACAATTAAAATATAAAAGCGATTAAGATAAATCAGTGAGTAGCGTTTAATATATTTGCAATTCGGAATTGAATTAAATTGACAAAATGTGAATAGATTAAAAAATAAAACACAAAACCGTGCGTTTATTTGCATACGAAAATGGTGGCGTCGCGAATGCCATGTCGCGCGCTTGCTGATTGGCTGAGCCGTCAAGTAGTAGACGAAAGCGCATGCGCATTGGAACACTAGCACTGTAGAAGCGAACATTGTGAACGCTGCGTCCCATTGGGCACGAGTTTGGTTTTAGTTTTGTAGTACACACACATACACATATACATATAGACTTTGCTGCCACATATGGTGCCATAGACTACATTCTTTACAAACAAATATATATATATATAAAAATAGTATGTGTACGTTTGTATGCGTTTGCGGGGCTAAAATTTATTGTTACTTGCTTTCTAGTGCCGCCACAAGAGCGTGCACACACACCCGTACTCCGGTTGGTGTCAGCGGGTGCCTCATGGGCTTCGAATTTCCGGTTTTGTGTTAGAGCAATCGACAATCAAACAAATTAAATGTGATTTTTCTCTGCTTTTATGTGGTTTCATTAACATACTTAATTTTATTTATTTGTCTTCATTTTTTTACCTTTTATCTGCACATAATAGTTACAAAACTCTGAAGCCACCTAACCGGCGCAACTAGGTGGGCTAATGGCATCATAAAGCAAAAAAAAGTAATTCAAATAAATTAAACTAGAACTAATAGATAAATGCTAACAAAGTGTAATGTCAATTAGTTGTTGTTGCTGCTTTATTTTTTGGTAGCAACTAAAGTGCGATCGAAACATGTGTTTTTCGATATTTAGTGATTGTAGTTGGTGGCGTTAAAATTTGTTGGTTTTGTATTATTATTATTTTATTTTTGCATTTAATTTGACGTTGTCAGCGATTTATGGCGCTTGAGCTGAACTTGTGTGGTAAGAAAAATGAGTGCCGAAATAAATGTGAAGGTGGTGTTGTAGTAGTGACATGGTGAAAATTTGGTAAGATTTTCAGAAAAAAATCCCATACAATTTTAATAAAAGTCTGCCAAGGTAAGTCTCATTACCAAAGTGTTCCTAATTTCGGGTATACTGCATGCAGCATTAGTAACCGTACCGCAGGTCAACTGCATTGTTAAGGGATTATATCCATTTGCAAATCAGAAAACACGCTTTTTTTTGTGAATTTTTTTATTTGAAGAGGCGTTTTATTTGATATCAATAAAAATATTGCGCATTCACAGAATTCTATGTTATTTAATTATCGGCGATATATTTTGAAAAATTTTTTAAACGTTTCATTGTTCCTGAAGCCGTACTTCAGGCGGACGCCCGAAGATTGATGTCTGGCGGCTAGGAAAATTTGTATACTCTCGCAATTTGTTGCTATAGAGTATAATAGTTTTGTTCGTCTAACGGTTGCTTGTATCACCTAAAACTAATCGAGTTAGATATAGGGTTATGTATATATAAATGATCAGGATGAAGGGACGAGTTGAAATCCGGGTGACTGTCTGTCCGTCCGTCCGTCCGTCCGTGCAAGCTCTAACTTGAGTAAAAATTGAGATTTTTTTATGAAAGTTGGTAGACATATTTCTTGGTACCGTGAGAGGGTTGATATTGCAGATGAGCGTAATAGGACCACTGCCACGCCCACAAAACGCCATTAATCAAAAACAAATAAATTACCATAACTAAGCTCCACAACAAGATACAAGACTCTTCTTTGGTATACAGGATCACATTGGGAAGGGGCATCTGCAGTTTAAAATTTTATTTAAAAGTGGGCGTGGTCCCGCCCCCTAATAAGTTTAATGTGCATATCTCCTATACCACTGAAGCTATAACAACAAAATTCACTGAGAACAAATGTTTTTAGCATTTCCAGAAACATTAAATTTTATCTATGGGATGGTATGCGATGACTTTAATTAATTAGATAGAGGGCGTGGCACCGCCTACTTTTAGGTGAAAACCCATATCTTGGGATCTGCTTAACCGATTTCAACCAAATTCGGTACATAATATTCTCCTCATATTTCTATGTTATAGTGCGAAAGTGGGCGAAATCGGACTACAACCGTGCCTATTTCCCATATAACACCATTTTTAATTCCATCTGATTCTTTCACTTTCCACTTATCAAGCAACAATGATTATATCGGGGTAAAACTTTCCGTGAATAATACATTTAAAGTATGCCACCTGGTGACCAAAAATTGTCTAAATCGAACCAAAACTGTTCAAACCCCTAGGTACTGAATATGTGGACCCAGTGCCTATAGTTGACCTTTTACCGAAAATATCGGTTAATCCACAAAGAAATCTTAAACGAGTATACCATTTGATTTTGCGAGAGTATAAAATGTTCGGTTACATCCGAACTTAGCCCTTCCTTACTTGTTCTACATAAATTTATGTCAAATCCAAACATCTAATTAATTCGACAGTTACCTGGCAAATATATCTCAGAAAGTTCTATGAAATTTGCAAGTTGAACGATCCAGCCATTTCGAAGAAATTTTCCTTACCGATTCTGAAAACAGTTGTTTTTGCTAGACACTTCCTCGGGATATTTTTCGAATGGATATTTATCTATTGCATGATTTTGATAATCCCAAAAAATCTGCTGCTTCGCATAATGAATTATATGTACAATATATTTTGTATGTATGTGTTTGGTGGACCTCATATACTTTTGGAAAGCAATTTAAAAAAAAAAGCGTTTTTAAGTTTCCCATTATTTTCAATAAGATTCACATCGAATTTTTGATCTCGTCAATTATAATTTCTCAATTCTTTATATGTATTATCACATACATACATACATATACACATGTATATCTGCAATAATTATCTAAAGTTGTTCTACCATCTATGTTATATGAATCCACAAGTGGTTAAACATTGCACTAAATGCTCACAACCGATCTAACCACATGCTCATTGAACTTCACCGCCCGTATGTGTTGTGCTCAGCTAATTGATTTTCACAAATCCATAATTCAATAAGCGTTCACAGTTTCTTATTTTCAATTAGTAGCGTTGTGACTCACTTCTCTAATTTTATGCACAAACACATAGTTATAAGCTATATTTATACCGATGTCTCGTTGTAACTAGTTCATATTAAATACGTAGCGATAATTTTTCCCATCGTAAAAATAAACTTAATGATTTACTAAGTTATCGCTTCCTTCTCGACTAGAATTTCTAGTTTCATATGCAAAAGTGACATATATTAAACAGTTTACTTCCAGATGTATGTATGTGTATGTGTGTATGCATGTAGTTAGTTAATCATGTAAGTAAAAGTAAGGTGCATTGAGAAAAAAATAATCTCAAGAAAATTTACATCTAGAAATCGTGTCCAGGTGATTTGCATGGTTAATAGTCGATCGCTGGTTTCAAGGCCTTCTGGAAATGTTAGAGAGTTTTTTCTTAGAACTGTTGGTATTTTAGTTGTCAAATTAAGACTTTCAGAGTATTTTTGTTTACATAACAATTCAAGAACCGAGAGCAGAAAATACTACTTGTATTTATTAAATAGTAAATTAGTACAGTAGATCTCCGTACTCACTCAGTTTGGAGCAATCTGAACAGATATTACTTCTTCTATGTCCACTTTCCTTCAATTCAATTCTAAAATCTTGGTCTCTATAGTATTTCGAAATCCATGCAAAGAATGTGTGCAAAGAATTATATTAGCTTTTACGGACTGTATGTTTTTCTACTTCTAAGAATTTTAGAATTTTACAACTAATCAATTTCTAATTACATGCAAACGATATTGATTTGCGACTAATTAATAATTAACAATGATATGTGTGGAGACTCATTAAGTCCTTATTGCACCTCATATACGTAGCATAATCCGGGTATAATTACTTAAAAGATTACTCACGCAAGTTTTGTGCTGAGTATTGATTACCCAATAACCTTTAAATCGCTAATTCAAAAGCTTTTCCGTTCATTGGAATCAGTAATGGTTGATATGATTCCCGATTAATGGAACTAAAATTGTGCAATTAAGTTACGTTAATAAAAATTTGTACTAAAGTATTTTTAATTATAAAAGAATTACAATGCAATTGCAGTGAAAATCCATAACTAGAAATATTTGTCTAATCGGGTTATGCAAAGCTTATCATTCAAATTGCATTTATAAACA